TTTGCAAGGGGCACTGGGATATCCTCCTTTTTAGATCTCAAACTGTGCTTAGACTTTTTACAACAAGGCCTTCTTTAACTGGAAAAAAAAATGTGACTTGCTAAACTGTCATCATGAGACCAAAGTTTGGACTATTCCCTTTACCCTGAAAGGTAATTAATAGAATTACATCAAGGAGAAAGAACAGAAGTTTTGTACTTTCCTTACCTTCTATGAGAGATGGAGAAAACTAATGTCTTAGTGCTCCATTATGAAAGGGAAAGCTGGAGCTGGATGCCATTGCTGTCAATTTTCTTGGGTATAAATGAGGTAATGGTTCGTGTTGACCTTGGGGATGCTACACCCACCTTGTGTCCACAGGTTGGCCATGAACTGACTGATCTTTGTACTTCCTAAGATGCTGGTGGTGGTCTTGGGGAGTTAGAAGGGCAGGGAAAACTTTTACCGTTCAAGCATTTGAAACACTAGAAAGAACCAAGAAATTCTGCAGCAGAGAGTTGAGAAACCAATCCAGTTAATATCATATTATGATTTAGTATTATCCCTAGTGGGATAAAGAAAAGGGAGTTTGTTGAAAAATTCTCCCAAATGAAGTCTCTTGAGATTCTAAATTATTAAAACACTGACTTATAAAAAGAGTTCATTTATTAGCAATACAAACAAGACAAGGAGAAATAAAAGATCCCCAAATATCAGGGGATTTCCTGAGACATCTTTAACAGTCCCTGGATGGCTGATAAAATACTCTTCCTCTCTTTAACCTTGTCTTGGTAATTGGCCTAGTGGTAACTGACATCCTTTGAACAAATAGATATTATATCATCCCTAGTGTTGAAGACTTTAAGACTCAAAGTGCTGACAACCTTGAGAAAATATAATGTTTAATAAGCATCATTAACAGAGTGACTTTGGCCACAAAACTTAAGAGTTGTTCCTTTCTCTGGACAATATCAAATTCCAGGTGTCCACCTAGAGCTTTGTGAATCATGTGAAATTGAATTTATGATTTAACCCTGGTTTTCTTGTGTAAACACAGTCTCTGATGACCAATGTAGTTATTCTGTATACAAATGACTCAGTGAAGGAAAACTGCTTCAGCCTTTCCTGTCTTAGACACATAGTACCTTGACTAACACTTGCTTAATAGATGTCAATTTATTCCCTCAGCCTTACCTGAATTCAGATGGTAGAGAGCGGAATTTCACCTGAGCTATTTGAACAAATTAAATTTTGGGGTGTTTTTCATGTTGAAAATCAAGTAAACTAAATTTGAAATCTAGGGTTGTGCTGTCTGCAAGAGTAGAAAAGTCTAGCGGAAAAAACCCAATAGATTTTGACTGAAACTTTAGTAAGCAACTTCTGGCCACACTTTTCAAAGAGAAACTTCTCTAAATTCTTGTGGTCTAGAGACCACATGTGAGCAATTAGGGTATTTTGTGTCTTCACAAATTTTGATAATTTCTACAGTTCTTTCCTTTTCGGTACTTCCTATTCCATAGCTCTAAAAACCATTTAGAATCAATTTGAAAACAAAAGGACAGATTTCTACCATTTGGATGCTGCCAGAGGTAGGAAAAAAAAAGTTTCTTCCCCTGGGAACAAAAGCACTTGAAGTTACACTGTGTGTGATAAAATGCTTCTTATTAGAACCTTCCTTGTGGTTGAGTGGAGATGAGACCCATCTGAGCAAATGGATTATGACCCCAAAATAGATTCTCATCCAGGTTATACTAAGCGAAGATGGTTTTTCTTACTCATTCAATAGCCCAAGAGAGGATATTGTCTTCAATTGAGAGAAAGTGAGGGAGGGAGCCCTGATGGCACAGCCGAGGTGAAATGGTAATGAAGAGCACCGTCAGGACTGAGGTTTTTGACCATTAACTACTGTCACTCAGTGACTCCAGGTGGAACTACCCTGAGAGCTGACAGCCTGGAATGTTTCTTTCCCTTGTGGAGTAATCCAGCTTAAGAACCCTGAGTGTGTATCCCTCTGAAGCTTTCTGACAGCTTGCCTCCCTCAAGGGGAAAACTAAATCGGATTTAGTCCTTGTTCTCTTTTTACAAATAAATTCCTTCTTGATAAATAAGGTTGCTGGGCTACAAGCTAACTTGTAAATCGAGGAACATGGCAACAGTGTCTTTTCCTGTGTGGGTCTCTATTATCCCTGCTGCTGTGGTCTGAATGTGTCCCCTGAAATTCGTATGTTGGAATCTTTAACCCCCAAAGATGATAGTATTAAGAAGTGAGGCCTTTGGGAGGTGTTGAAGTCATGAGGATGGAGCCATTATGAATGGGATGAGTGCCTTATTAAAGAGGCTCCAGAGAGAACCCTTGTCCCTTCCTCCATGTGAGGATACAGTAAAGAGTCTGTGACCTGAAAGAGGGCCCTCAACTCAACCATGCTAACGCCTTGATCTCAGACTTCCAGCCTCTGGAAGTGGAGAAACACATTTCTATTTTTTATAAGCTACCCAGTCTGTGGTATTTCATGACAGTAGTCTGAATGGACAAAGACACTTGCTCTCTTCCCTCCCTCCATCTTTCATAGAATTCATTAGTACATTTGTTTGGTTTTTGGAAACATGTTTTCTGAGGGCCTGCTATGTGCTAGGCATTGCTTTAGGTTCTGGGGACATAATGGCAAACAAAAGAAAGAAATTCTCTACCTTCAAGGAGCTTACTCTGAGGTTTGGCTGAAGCCTGCCTCTTCCATTGACAGATTTGTAAATTTGGGGCAAGCTATTTAACTGAGTTGTGCCTCATTTTCTTTGTATAATGGGAATAATATCAGTACTTGCCTCAAATGGTCTTTATGAGGATCAGATGAGATCATCTATGTAGAACATTTAGAAACAGAGTGCGTGGCTATGAGCTAGGGTGCTGGGCATGCTGCTACTTTTCACTGCTGTTGCTGGTACTATGATCACATTCTTTCTCCCTGAGATGTTTCTTGAATCATCATTTGCCTGGTGACCTGAGAGACCACTTTCATTTGTGCCTCATTTTCAGGGCCAAGGAGCAAGCAGGAACCCTCTATGAAAATGCCCAGGGAGTAGAAGTTGTGAGAGTAGCTCATGACTGTTGTAGGGAAATGCGCTATCCAACACACTGTAATGTGGCCACCCCAGGGTCCTGCTGGAATAATGGGGACCAGCACCCTTTATATACAAAGAGGCATGTGGGCAGAAAGAGATCAAAATGAGGCCAAGGGATGCTTTGTGAATACACAGATGATTTGCACAGGAGTAACGTCAGGCCCATTGCTTTTGCAAACGGCAGCCTCTCTCTCTTCTGTATTTGTCGTATACATCCAGAAGGTAGGAGAATCTTCTCTGCCTCTACTTATCTACTTCCCAATACTTTAAAACTTTCTGATACTGGTGAAAGAGGTAAATCATTTCAGATTTTTTTCAGACATACCCAATTCTACTTTGGCAGTGTCCCTCAGTCCTATATGCCTTGCAGGTAACTTTCCTGGTTTCTGACAAGCATCGTGATGAATCACTAGCTTGGAGTAACTTCTGTCTCTTCACACTATTGATTTTACAAAAATCCAAGCTTTCAGAAGCATGGAAAGCCATATATTTAATGTCATTTGTCCTTAAAACAACACTCGTCTAGGGAAGAAACAATCACTGCCCTTTATACATTCACTAAATCAATGACATATTTCTTAAAATGAAAAGAATGTTTAAAAATCATTTTTTTCTAACAGAGAGGAAAAGTAAATCCTAACTTTTTATGGTGCTCTGTTTTTGATAAACCTCTGGGTATAGTTTACTCTTAAAACAAAGTAATTTTTATTTATTAATTAGTATTGTTATTGTTGAATAAAATTTACTGCATAAGTGGTACCTGTTTTCGTGAACCAACACTGGTAACAACGAATTGTTCCTTTTTTCACCCTTAGTTTTTTTATTCCTAAATTAGTATCTACTCAATCCTGGGATGACAACTTCATTTTTGGTAATCTAGATGTGAAACCTTGACACGGGTGTTTTTAGAATTTATTTCGGTTGCGCTACTGTTTTTCTTTTTCTTTGTCTTCACATGTACAGTTGCCTCTTAAAAGAAGGTCTAACCCATCCCTGTCATAGACCAGGCTTGTGACTTTGAGCAGATAATTTAGCTTCTGAAGGCTTTGTTCTCTTAATAAGTAAAGCCAAGGGCTGACCTTCATGATCTCTAAGGTGTTTTTGTTATCTCTACACCTCCCAGGATCTATTGAAATCCCACCACCCCGCCTACCCATGGAGCCTATTGTGTCCGAGATTGCATAATAAAAGTACTAAGGCTTATTTCATAGGCAAGGAAGAAATCAGTTGCATCACTCTAAGTAAGTAATTACAAATACTGGAACAATGAAATGCACTTGACAATAAAACTATGTGACTCTAACTTTAATTCTCCTTTGGTGCTTTGGAAGGCACTCCAAGCTATTGGAAAGCTTCAGGCTACCCTGGTGGCACCGTCCTCACTGGTGCAGATACAATATTTGACTGGACTCCCTCAGAATGTTTTTGGTTCTGAATCTCCAAATAAATTCCAGTGTCAATATGTTTATTTGTTATCCGTTTCTATCTCATTAGATACAGAACAGAAAGAACAAAACAATGATATTCAATTATTCTGTAATCTGTCAGAATTTCAAATTAAGGAATCTTCGTTTTATAGGTTCCACGCATGAGTGATTAGTTAATGGGTAGTTGAGCTGTATTCAGAAAACAGCATTTTTGTTGCTGTTGTTCTAGTGACGGCAAGAAGATACTGACCTATAGATCTGAGTGTACTAAACTGGGGATAGAGGAACCAGAGAAACTGCTTTATACTGACTGCTGGGGGCACATATGTTCCTTGTAATGGGAGTGTGTCATAGTAAATTTTATTATTTTTTTAAACCTGCCCCCCCCATCTTTATTTTTAAGAGAGACTCTTCTATTCCACGTTTCCCTCCCCTTGGTATGAGGTAACCATTGAGAACCCATTGTCAGTTTCTTACCTTGAAGAAGGTCATTGTGGATCCATCTCTGACTGCCCCATATTCTATCTTGGTTTGCTTTGCCAGATCATCTGCTGAATCTATGGGGGATTCCATTCTCTCCACTGTCAAGAAGGCAGCCAGGTTGGCAGTGTAGGATGAAATGATGATTAAGGTGAAAAACCACCATATCCCGCCAACTATTCTGGTTGATAGAGCTTTGGGCATCAGCTCTGATCCTGTGATGGTGTCACCAGAATAAGAGTGTTAAGCAAAGCTAAAAGAGAGAAGACTTATGATTCAACACTAGTCTAGAGATAATGCATTTTTGTGACATGAAAATTATAAAGCCATCAAAGACTTGCTCTCTTGTGTGTAGGTGAAATAGAAGTATTTTTTCGAATTAGAGCAAAATCTAAATAATCTTTTTCACTAATCACAATTACTGCTTAAAATGCAACTTATTGACATTTGATGGTATTAAATGTGTTTAACCCTGAGATATTCTATGTCTAAAATTTATAGAGTTAGTTTAGTTGCTTAGATCTGAGTTTGTTTGCTTGTTTTTTGTTGAAAAGTCAACCCCCAATCTTTGGATGCTTTTATTAAACTTTTAGATATGTACCTTATTGTGTGAAATAAAGTCTTATCAGTTTTTATACAGCTATGAAAACTTTGAAGTGCTAACATATTTTTATTTAAGGTTAAAGGATATGAGAAACTTTTAAAAGATTAACATATTATGCCATTTGTCTCATGTACTTTAATAAGACATTAGGATTTTACAATAAAATGAAATAGGATAAAGCCACACTTGACAGCAGATGAATCCTTTTTCATTGTTTTATGCTACTTTTAAAGTCAAAATTATTTTTTTTCTAATGTATATTCTTAGTTGACTGAGGAGAATGTATTCATTGAAAAACATACTTTTGTTTTTTTAAAGTGCTCTTTTATTAATTATACATCAATGACTGGCTGTTTCTTAAGTGGAAAGGGGCTCTTTCTGGTAAAAAAAAATCCATTTTTATATGTCATCCAATGATTATTGTGAAAGATAACATGGAGAGGCACTTAACATGTTTTCTAAGAGACCCTTTCTCTCTAAAAGAAAGGGTCTATGGGCCAAGTGTCCTTACACAAAGGTTAGACATTTGTGAAGACTCCCTAGCTCAAAACTGTTGGTCAACCTGAGCTATGAAGGTCAATAAATCCAGTAGTAGAATTAAAAGGGATAGAAGGGGATATGCAGGGCTCATTCCAGTTGTTCTGATCATGGGCAGATTTTGGCTACTCTGCTTGCCTGAAATTCACCATGGATTCTGTACTTGGCATTTCCTCCATGAACTTGGGGGCATGATAAGTTTATATGACTAGTTAAAAAGTTGAAGAAAAACACCCTGAATGTAAAAATCCAAAACGTGAAGTAGAACAGGGGAAATATCTGGTTTCAAAGATTCTTTCGCTATTCTGATTGGGTGTTTTGAAGTTTTGTAGTCAATGGCTTAAGATGGAAAGGGGAATTGGAGTTTACCAATCTACAGATAAACGAGTTTATGCTCAAATTTAATCTATAAACAGACACACATATTGCTCATGAAATCAAAGCCAGCTCGGGGCTCATGATAAGCAGATCAAGGTTGGCAGAGTTTCCGGGCTTTGAATTAACAGATATATTTTCCTAATGCTCTTAGGAAATCTAGGAGCTTTATTCTCTTTTAATGAGGTAAATAGTTTCATTGCAATTTGTATTTCCTTCTTTTGTTTGTTTGAATTTGGGTGTGTAATATTACACAGATTTATAATAGTTTCCATTAAATTGCCTCCAAGGATTTAGTGGGATAGTTTGTTGCTGTTGTTTTAATCTTGTGGTTTAATGGGATTTATATGCCTGTGGGTGTCTGCGTGTGTTTAATGCCCAAGGTTGTTTCATATCTTTGTACTTAATTGATCTAGCAGCCTTTTGGCAGTGTGATATTATTTAGATCTTTAGTTGCTTATCATTAAAATACCATTTATTTCATAAAATAGCCATGGGAAAGAAGTAATACAGTTAATATAGATATATTTTCTTAGCTTATAGTTATAGATTTTCTCCTATAAATTTATGCTTCTGTTATTTTGTAGCATTCGTGAAAATATAAGGTAGTAATTTGTTATTTGTGTAATTATGTATTATGCGGCAGCAAAACTGGATAAGCCCATTGATAACCAACCTCTGACAGGTAACAAAAAATACAAATTCGCATCTAGCATATTTAAAATAAATGTACTTTTGAATGAAGTTGTGGAAATTGAAAAAAATAATTAGTAGAAACCTACTCAGATTGCATTTTAAACCCTTGGCATATGATATAAATTAGATTTCTGGATATGTCATTGTGTTCTTTATTGTCACATAGTTTTGTGACTTTCATGACCCTCAGTGTTAACTGAAATACTTAGAAATGGCTTTCCTCAAATAGAGATGATCTGTCCAAGTTCAGAAGTAGAGAGAATGAAGTTATGAAAGCAATAAAAGTTGAGTGAAACATCCTTAGAAAATTTTGGGATGAGAGACAATACTTGCTGAAGTCCCTTTAGTGCCTTTTACGGCAGACATGACAGCCAATCCTGATCCAGACTTTGCTCACGCTCTGTAGAAAAGAGAAAGTCTGATCATCACATTAAAAAAGAAATTAAACAAATGGTTTCCAATTGAGTACAGTGACAAGCTTCTGCTAACAAGAGAGAGCACAACAGTTGATACAGAAGGTTGCTACCTGGCCCAATGCCACATGCTAAAGACAGATGCACTAGGAGTCATCAGTACCACAAATTTGTATACGATGATATTTCAACTGACAAATATTTTTAAACTTCTTGAAAAACAAGCAGAGTCTGGTTGGGGCTGACTGTCATGTACCCAAGGTAGTGGTAACGATCAGACACTGCATCCCATGGTTTGCTGTGGATGATGGTAAACTCCAAACAGAATATGAAAGAGATTTGGGGAGGTGGGTGCACTCATATGACACAAGACAGTCACGATCATATATACCTGCATGGACTTGCTGCGTGCTCTTTGAAACCCATGTCTATATTTTTCTATTCTAATGGTACAGAAAGGCAAGCTATAGTGTGTGGGGGAGGGGTCGGTCTCCCTATTTTTTGAAAGTAATTCCTTACAAGATAAATGTCCTAAAAATTAAATGCATTGGTAAAGCAGTATATAGCTTCTAATGGGTTTTCCTGCAGAACTTAAAGTTCTGTGCGATGCTCTAAACTTACCCAACTGATTCGTAGTAAATTAGGTGCTATGTCTATACGTATTTAACGATGCCCACATAAACTATGCTGAACTGCCAGATGAGAGAATTTACTCACTTTCCTCAAATATTTGGCATTTCCACACTACAGACCCTTGTTCTCTCTATCATTTGTAGACACAGAATGTAAACATTTCCAGTGGTATTATAACAACTCCCTTATGAGAAGCCTTAGGTTCACCCCCAAGTAACAAACATGTTTAATATATATTCTTGCTGAATTTTCTCTGCCAATTTATTTAGCAGCTTATTGTCAAATGAGCAGATTATTCTAAAGCGACAGCATCTGTGACTTATGATTTTCTTAAATTAATGCATTTAATCTTGGGAAGTCTTTTCTAGACCATACGCCTAGAATCAAAGCTGAGGAAAATCCACGAAAGCGTTGGATTTCTTCCAAAGTTTAAAAAAACTCCCTCCTCCTTCCCCACCAAAATCAAAATCCCCACATCATAGGAACTATAGAAAATATATTACAACTCTGTGGATTGGATTTCATTTCCTCAACCTTGAGAGTTTACTGTTGCTGTGCTTACTGATCAAGGAAGACTGAAAAGTTACAAGCTGAGATGGATCCCAGTAGGGTTGCCAGAGTGGGAACAATTTAGTTAGTGTCAGCTATTGGAAAAATGTCAGCCAACTTAATTTTCAAAGGATTCAAATTCCACTCCTTTCGAACCCTTGGCTTGCACAGTTATGGCTGAAAAGGAAAGATCTGATACCTCCACCTGTGCAAATTTGTAAACCATTTCTAAGGTACTTTAACCTTTACTTCCTTCTAGGAACATTTGTATTCACTGCTTGGTAGAAGTCTTATTTTAGAAATATAACAAGACGTTCCATTTAGTTCACATTTTTATCTTTGCTATTTTTAGAACTGGCTGGGAAGGTCAGGTTCTATTTTTTTTTGATTCCTGAGATGGTTTTTCAGCCTACCCTCTCGCTTTAGGGTGGAGTTTACCAGCAACAAAGCCTGTCAGCAGACTCTGGGATGCCTGTGACAAAGATGGGCAACCGATGTACCTTGCTGCATGAGAGCGCCAACTCCAAACCAGAAACTATTTAGTAAAGTAAAATTGTTTTCCACCACATCTGAGTCAGGGTTGCATGGGTGGGGGTTATACCACTCGTAGGGTGTAAACCTGCATAGTTAACAGAAACAGTCTGTAAACATCAGATAAATGCACGTGGCACCAACAAAACTTGCTGAACAATAAAGAAAACCCAACAATCAATGGTGAAAGTAATCAAACCCAAACAGTAAAGGCAATATTCATCAACTTACAGCTTTGGTGGGCAAGGTCAAAGGAGACTTGAGACATTATATTTACCAAACTTCTTATTTCTAGGCCAAGTGCTTTGGTTGGCTGGAATTGTACGTCTCCGACCTACATTTACTGGATTCTTCTGAGTTTTCATTCATTTCCATTTTACTGAACAACTAGTTGGGCTGTAAAGAAAGGTTCACTCATCCCAAGTGTTTACCCCACCAAGCAGCAATGACTGCTACATACACTGGTTTCATACCAAGTGTCAAGATACTATGTTGCTAGAGGCTGGGGGACACAAAGTGAAGGGGTGCCTTGCCTGCGAGGGGCATCTGTGGACGGATGCTTAAAAGAAGTATGTGGTTTAATGATTTCATAACGCATCAAAAGACCTGCAATTGTGAAAAAATTAGTGAACAAAAAGAAGGTGTGGATTTGGGGTATATTCGATTTTGTTCAGTTCATATATGGAAAGGAAAATCATAATCTTTCAATGAAGAGACAAAGTTTAAACTTAGAAGTATCCTGGACCAGGGGATACGGATAGGGTTCATGAGTGTTAACTCTATAGCTTGTCTCCCTGGAGAGCTTTACATTCAAATTTCCCTTTTGATTTGTTTTTATTTTGTTGATAGAATGACGGATTGTAGTCACTTGATCAGCAGTCCTAGCAGGTTAGGAAGTCGATCTTCAACAAGTCACTTAACTTCTCTGGCCTCAGTTTCCTTATTTGTAAACAAGATGGAATCCAGATATCTCTGGGATGTGTGAAAATAAAAATCTGAGGAAGAGATTTTTGGTTCTTTCTCTGTTTTTGAAAAATCTGTCTGACCTTTGTAGCCCAAGGAGTTGCCTGCTCTGTGGTTATTTTGTAGGGCTATCTTGCCAGGGGGCACTTATTTTTCCAAAGAGACATTAGCAGATGCTCGGCAAAGTGATCTGGAAATGATTTAAAATGCAGGAGTCCTTAGGCTGGAAGCTTTGCCATTTGCCATTGGGTCCTTTGAATGCAAGCAGGAGCGTTAGAGTAATGTTAAAACCCCATAAAACCGATAAGAACATACGGAATGCTCTCCAGCCATAAGGTTTCAGCAGTAAACAATAGCAGGTTGCTGACACAATGGGGAGAACTGGGATTAAGGTGAATACATTATCTAGAGCAAAAAGCAGGGCACACTATGAAGCATGCACAAGGAACTGGGCAGACCCTCTGAATGCAAAACCATTCCCTAAAACCCTGGACACCTTCTGGAAAGTGTACAGGGTCTCCTCATCAGAATTAGGGGTACCAGGATAACAGCCTTATAGTTTACGCCACAATAATGGTATCCAACTCATTACTGAACCTTCTCCACAGCTGCAGGGTTGACAGCGCAGGTTCCTGTGAAGCTTGTGAATATAGCTGCAATTGATAATGCCATGCCAATACATTTTAATTACTGTTTCAACAATATAATTAAGTTTTGAATTTATACACTCTTCTAACCATAGTAGTTTACTGAGCTGAAGAAATGAATACCGATATTAATGAACCCACTAATTGAAACAGTATGCACAGTAAAGATGCTGTTACTTCAACAATATCATTGTCACTTGTACAATAATTTTAAAATACTAATTGCAATAAATTAGGAGGCTCATGCACTCAAAAGGAGGAGTTTTCTAAACAGACCATAAAACCTGGCAACCACTAACCCCCTGATAGTCAGGTATTTCTTCCTCATGTATGCTCTGATCAATGACCTCACCACTTCCTCTTTGAAATTCTGCTTTTGGGGCGCCTGGGTGGCTCGGTCGGTTAAGCGTCCGACTTCGGCTCAGGTCATGATCTCACGGCCTGTGAGTTCGAGCCCCGCATCGGGCTCTGTGCTGACCACTCAGAGCCTGCAGCCTGTTTCAGATTCTGTGTCTCCCTCTGTCTCTGCCCCTCCCCTGTTCATGCTCTGTCTCTCTCTGTCTCAAAAATAAATAAAAACGTTGAAAAAAAAATTAAAAAAAAAAAAAGAAATTCTGCTTTTAACTTGTGTCAGTGTTTCATACTTTGCAGTTCTAAGTGAACAATTAGTCTAATTTTCTATGGAAAAAAAGAAAACTGCCTAAGCAGCAGTATGACTCTGCCTGGTCTGCAGAGATATTTGAGGTTCTTTCTCTCTAGGACTCGGAGTGATTTGGGGTTGGACTGAGGACTATTAGCTATCAGTAGGATCCTGGGCTATAAGACACTGGTTTTTCATAATGCAATAGACCCACCTGTTGCTTGGATGTAGATATTTCAGTTTGAAATGCCCAGTGCCTGCTTAAAGGTAGCCAACGTGACAGCAATGTCAGCATCAGGAAGGCTGGGGGAAAATTAATATAGGACCCGCACAATGATGTTCTGAAGTTGCTATTCCCAATTGATACTGATCTTTAGTAAAATAACAGAGAAAGGTACAAATGTGCTTAGAATCTGTGTCAAAATTTGCATATAAAGGAGTAGCATTATGTTGAAATATAAAGGTTCATCTTGGGTTTATGTTTATATATGCCAAGCTTTTACTTGAATGAAGGATATAAAACAATCTTCAGACTGAAGATCTCTAATTAAGGGATTCTTTTTATGGCTGAGAATGAATATTGGACCTCATGAAGAAAGGGAGATATGTTCATCTTTTAAAGGGGAGAGCTCTATTTGAGTTTGTGATATAACCACTGGCTTTGTATTACAACCTTTGAGTTACAGTTTGTTTTTTGCCAAAGCCAACTTAGAAAATGTTCAGGTTTAAGAAGGCAAACATAAATCATAAAATGTAAGCAGACAGTATGTCTGGATATTTGGTTTATTTAAATTGTGTATTCATGATGGACATAATTCTTTGGGGTTGAATATTTTGCAAAAAGCAATTAAAGAATGTTAACCACAAAACAAAAACACTGAGATGCACATTTATAGAATCATAAACTAAACAAGTCATAGTAACTTAAATTTTTATGGTTTTCCTTAGTTTGTCTAACTTTATGAATTCAATTCAGTTTAGCAAATGATTTTTAAGCATCTGTCTAGTGAGAACATTAGTCCAAAAGCGGTGATGGGCTTTATTTTTTCCCCTTTAAAAGGACATAAAAGGATACACTTCAAAACGCAAATTCAAGCCTCTCTAGAGCTAAAGATGATTAGGAGATTAACTTTTTTACTTCTACTTCACTATTTTGAATGCAAACCACTAAGGTGATAACAGAAAGCTGTTTCACATCTTGGCTTCTTGGTGCAGAGTGACCAAGTTCATGGTCTCTAGCTATGATGGTGAAGTAAAAGTGAAGTGGCACATATATTCAACAAGGATTTTGTCTTTGGGAATCACCTCCAAAATATATTTAGTGGCTTTATGAAGTAGAAGTGGAAATGGATTCAAGGGTGTAGAGATGAATATAGTTGAGAGGATGATCCCCATGGCAGTGCACCTGTGTACCTCAGGGAGTTACTTCCCACGTTCCACCACCATGCTGTTTGCAAGTGTGCATTGGATGCATACAATTCCACCTTTCCAAAACCCAGAGTGAGAGGAGAGGTAGCAAGTAGGGGGCAACAAGGAGAATAAGCTAAATGAAGAGCTGGTTTATAAATGGTGCTGTCGGTGAGTAGGAACACTGAGTGGATAGTATTGATTGCAGGGTGTGTTCTTAATAGAAATAGAATGAAGTCAGAAAATATAGGGCTGTGGGTCACTAACAGCTGATAGAGAAACAACCAGAGTAAGGAGGGGAAAATGACCAAATGTTACATTATTCAGACATGTTCTGATGGCAAAAAAAGGCAAGTGAAAGGCACAGTTGGGGTCAAGTGTAAGGGTACATTTAGCCCGTATGCTTATAAGAACTTCTGGATGCTGCTGATATGTTTTGTTTCCCACTGGCCATGATCAAATCAGTATGCTAAATATTTGGTCATCAACATTGTCTTGCCTCTTCTACTCATCAACATCACAGCCTAGACAGAACCACAGACTGGGGGATATGGAAACCCACTTCCTTCTGCTGTTTGGTTTGCTCCACTGTCTCCAATATCACCCAACAGATGCGGGCCCCAGAGGAGAGGAATGGAACAACGAGTCAATGTAAAATGTCTTAACCATCGTTACAATGTACATCAAGTAGTCATGTTTGAAATAGCCATTCTAGGGCTGTATTAATTTCACTTAGTAGACAGTAATGAGAAATGCACCCCCAAAGCTCAGCAACTTGTTTCTGAAAATTTGATACCCAAAGCAACATCTTCTTTAATTATTTAAAACATTGTCTCTCAATCTTGGTGCTGTTGACATTTAGGGGTAATTCTTTATTGTGGGGAGCTATGTGCCTACTGTAGGACGTTCAGTGGCATCTATGAACTGTACCCACTTTATGCCAGTACCGTTTTGCACTCTTGGTTGTGATAACCAAAAAAATGTTTTTAGAACAGGACCAAATGTTAGCTGAAAGACAAAGTCTCTCCTAGTTGAGAACCATTGATTTAGAGCACTAAAGTACCAGAGGATAGTATCACTATACTACTTTTAACATATTATTTTTTTGTGGTACGACATATGGAAGAGAGCTTTGATCATTACTTAAACGTAGTTAATAGTTGGGCAAAATCTGGAAGATGATCTGGGGTATGGTAATGATAAGATATGGGGTATGGAGAAAACATTTATTTCCTGTTGAATATATAAATACCCACATGTGAGAGCACACATTCATTCAGTTTGACCATATGTGCCTCATGGATCTCTAAGACTTTTCTATCCTGGGTTGTTTTCCCAAACATTCCTTATAATTATGCCAGGGAAAGAGTTCCTTGGCATTCATCAAAACCAGAGAGTGGACAATGACAGAGAGCTAGCCTGAAGAAATTTTTCTCATCGAAATTCCTGGCGGGAAAACAAAAATTGATCAGGGAAGAAAGTTCACTGAGTTTTGTTGAAAGATTAAAAAGATTGAAAATGAGTGGGGGACATACAAAAGCAATTATTTTTTTACACGGTCCATCTAGGGATATCAAATGTTTAAGCCAACAGAAAGAGAAAATAGCTGTGTTTCTTTCAAATTCACCATCAAAGGTATTTAGAAAATATCATCTACTGAAAGGTATAAAAATCCTTTGAAGAATGGTGGAAAGTGGAATGGTTAAATATAGAGTTATCTCAGGAAAAAAACCTAAACTGAATCATCAATGGTAGCATAAATATTTCATGCCTCTAGACTCTACATGCTAGTAATTTTTCTTTTCATAGTTATTTCTAGAATTCTCTTTAACTCTCTATAGTTTTAAAAAATAAATTCTATAAAATCTTCAAAGTATTTTTCTTTGTTCCTGAGGATTCATAACCTTGTTTCATCCCAGTATTTCTCATTTGCTACAATAATTACTAGATAACTTTCTCCTGTTTTGCTTAACTGAATATTCCAGGGGTCAAGTGTCTGGACAGCATTTTACTCTTCCTGTTGAAATGTTTTAGATTTATTAGGTGAGCTGTTGCTTTCGTTATAATATAATTCAGGGAAAATGGGTAAATGAACATTTTATGTTGCTTGAAATACTGAGAAAGTTAAATTCATATAAAAAATATCATCTTGTCTTTTAAAAGTAACTTTATAAAAAATTAGAAGATACTCATTTACAGCATGGCCTTTGTGAGGGCAAACTTGACAGAATGGAGCAGTAGGCAAAACTAAAACAACACTTTAATGTTCTTAACCTGTATTTACCTCTAGAACATACATGTCAGTCTGAGGCACACCTAGATCTCTGGTAAATTCAGTAGTTCTCGAACTCACCTTGCAATCACAAAGAGTACACAACTGACTCCCAAGCAGGCTAAGAGCACATACATCCAAATGTCAGGAGACAGGGGGTTGAGGAAGGAGAACACTCCTGGATTGGTACCATTGGGCTTCCGGTAGAGAATGCTGATACCCAGGGTCATGAAGGGCTTGGAGAAGTCAATGACTTTCTCCCGAACATAGGTAATGGTTAGAGGAGCCACTGCCAGATCAGCCTTCTGCAAAAGCAAGTTTGAAATCATTGTCTTATTTGTATCACTTCCCAGCAAATGTCTGGACGTTTCTGGGTACTCCTGATCTATACTTCTTAATTTCAAATGTTTTTCATGCAAGAAGCTTCTGTAATGATTGGCTTTACTATAAAAGCAGTTGATTTACACAGTTAGGTTTGTGAAATGGTAGTTACTAGCAAAGAGAAGCCAGAAGGTATAAAATACACACACACACACACACACACACACACACACACACACACACACAGACATACACACATTCTGGAAGTAAATGGAAGAAAAATCTGCAGGGGTATGTCTTTAAAAAGGGCATGTAAATAAAGCAAAAAAGGAGCCACTTGGTCATAAAATCAGCTGACAAGATGAGACTTTGAGCCGCAAACTGTAGAATTCTTTATCAAATTTAAGAATCACTCAGGTTTACTCTTCCGTATGATGGATGGATCCATACATTTTTGTCCCCAATTTGTGTCCTTACTTGCCCTTCTACGTAAGCAACTCTATTTCTACATTGTTTCCTTCTACTTTTTAAACCATTTTTAGGATTCAAATAAGTGTAACATTTCTTCCGATGCTGACTTAGAATCATTTTTTTTTCTTTGACTTCTAGCTATGCATTTTATCAGACACTTAAAACTCAACTATAAGACATGCATTTTTGCTTACATGATCTATAAGTTCTTTGACCATTCCATTCCACTCTCCTTTGTCATTCTGGGCTCCATATTTGCCATCAGGGACGAGTTTGACATCATAAATGAAGCCCAAGATGTTTGACAATTCTTTCAACAGATCCAGGCAATACCCTTCAAATCTGTCATTTCCATACAAAGGCTTATCAGATTTCCTGTACATCACATAGGGTTCTTCCTATATGAAACAAACCAAATATAAAAGCCCTGTTATAATGGAAAGCAGAATTTACTTACACAAGCTCCATCCGCAGTCAGAAGATATAAAGTATTTGAAAATGATGATTAGGATATCAGAGTAAGGAAGTTAGTCACTCACCATGCTGCCTTCCCTAAACTCATCTTCCCTATACCCTCTTACCTCTCTCTCCTCAGTGTGTGAATGAGAATGTTTTCCTCCACTGTTGAGGCAGAGCTGTGAGTGAAACATGTGATAGAGACACAGTCACATTTGGACCTGAGGTCCAGCAGTGAGGGGACTGGAAGACCAGATGTCTGCCTGTCTGGTCTTCATCTGTACTCACACCCGGACTTCCTTTGCATGACTGACCCTCCCTCCTGGCTTTTATATAAGAGCTTTACCTACTAACAAAAAGGAAATCTAAATCAGCAAATATAACCTCTTGCTTTTCAGACATCCTATCTACTAGTCTCATTTCCTCATCTCTCAGTTAAATTTCATCTCAGTTTCAATATTCACTTTTATCTACATATTTTGGTTCGTTTCCTTCCAGGTGTCTTGTTCAAAGACAATTTCTATCTAAGTCTTCTTATATTATCAGTTCCATTTTCTTATTTGAACTCGCCTCAAATCTTATATCTGGTAATTCTTTGCTTATACACTTACATAATAAATCCCTTATTCTACGAATAATGGACATTTCCTCACTATCACATATCTTTAACCTTATTCTCATTTGGCTAAATGAAAATTTATTTTATTTTATAACATTATAATAATTACATTACCGATAGGCCCTTTTACTCCTCATTACACATTTTTTACTTCAGACATTTAAGACCCATTTAGGCTTATCCTCAAACAAACTGATAGAAATAGAAATCTACATTTCCATGTGATAGTTCCTGAGAAAGGAGTCACAGAAAAGCAAAACTGTTTTTATCATGGATGACCAATTCTCAGAAGTTAACAGGTTTAGAAATAAATTTGTCCAACACTATGGACTGAATCAAATAAAGCAAGAATGTCTGAAAGTGAAGATTTTAGAGGTGGAAACTCCTGTCCTTTATTCCTTGGGTTAGGGTTGGAAAAGAAGAAAAATGGACAACCTGTGGATGTACAATGACTGGATAGGAGTATGATCAGGATTCTAATAGGAAGCAGGAAGTATCCTTACCTGGGCTTTTGAAAAACCCCTTAGTAAATGGGTTATTTATGGAAGAGTGAGCAGGTCAAAGAAGCCAATAGGAATGCAGGTGAGAGGAAGGGTAGGGTATTGACATTCCAAGACCAACATAATCAGGAAGCTGGTAGCACTTAGGGCTCAGGCAGGCAGGAAAAAAGAGCACTCCTGGAGTCCAGGACAGCAGAAGTCTAGAAGCAGGGTCATTGACAGAATAAGAGCTGTGGTTGTGAAGGACAGAAGTTCTGAGAAAACCATTGGATGTTCTTACTTCTCTTTTCCCTACTTCTTTGGTCTCTTGTCTCCTTGGTTGAAAACAATCACCAGCCAGAGAGCAAGGGAGACTAATTGGATTGGGCTAGAGAGTGGAGTGAGGCTGAGTTGAGAATGGATCCAAGGTGGGAGATATTCAGAACATTGTTGGAAGCTTCTAATTCAATGCAATTATAGGTATATACAAATATAAATTTTTAGTGTCCTAATTAAAAATAGACATTTGCAGAAAAAAATGTTTAAAGTCTAGAGTCCAGATAAGACACCCTGACTTCCAGTCAACTTACCAAAATGGTGGTGACTATGAGTGTTCGGTTGGCCAGTGAATCGGTGATATTGTTGGACCTGTCTTTGTTGCCATCGGTCATGTTAAGGCCACTGTTGGAGTTCCAAATCCCAATCTACACAGAACACAATACATCAGAGGCTGCTGGCTTGTCAGTGACCCCATTTACATCAAAGAGAGGCCCCTTCTAAACCAGGAATGGACACAAAAGCTTAGAGTCTGGGGAGAAGACACCAGGGCATCACATTGAAGCTACTAACTGTGGGAAAATGAAACAATGAAGGAATGAGTGTGTACATAGAACAGGGAAAATTAGTGCCATTTGGGATGGAGTGGGGAGAGGTCTTTTCGTTTGTGAATTTATTAAACTCATTGTTCTTTGTTAATTTAAGAATTCTTAGATGAGTATCAGATTTTTCTTCCAATAGGTATTTGTTGAACACCTATTTTATGCCATGTGTTGTTGTGGGCATTGAAGGACATAGCAATGAACAAAACAGACAAGAATTTCTTCCCTCGTGGAGCTTACATTCTAGTGATACGAACCTTCCATTGCCAAAGTGGTACCATCAGTGCCTTTAAAATTTATAAGGAATGGGATGAAAGGAGCAAAGTGGATGATGGAGAGATGGGGTATCTAAAAGGGAAAAAATAAATGGAAGAAAAAAGTGTGGATGAAGAGTAGACTAAGTTCTGAGCCTGGCTTCATTGAGGAGCCAGTGCTGGTTGAGGGTGCCTGTCATGGACTATACTAGGACTGCTCATACCTCTGCTGTAGGCTCATCCTCTGTTATTCTTCTGTTGTTATGTCTGTGCACTTGACTGTGAACTCCTTCAGTGAGGGTATTCATTCTTATTGATCATTGTTCTTCCTATCACAGAACCACCCATGGCGATTACTAGTCAGTGAAACCCATTGCTCTTTTAAAAAATAATGACCCACAATTTTCTCCAGTGGCCAAGTCACTCCTGCATTAGTAGGCCCTGGAGAAGTACATTGATTTGTTTGACTTCTGGAGAAAACCAGGAGAAAAGCCTCAGGGAACTGAACTATTTATCTGAAGCCTTCTGTAGGCATTTATTGCCCGCCTGGTGAGACATACGTAATGCAGGTGTGTTTCAGAGCTGGGCAATCTAGCTGCTGTGTGACCTTGGACAGGCTGATAACCTTTCTGAGCTTTGGTTCTCTAACTGTAAAGTACGTCATCTGGATATTGACACAATCAAATAAGAAGATGCACATGAAAATCTTGATCGTTTTAAGAGCTACACGAACATTAGTAACAAAGGACATTGAAAGGACTGCCCCAGTAATTTCTTCAAGCTTGCTCGGTTGTGAAAGAATTTGGATGGTGAGTGAAATATTTATTTATTTAATTTAGAGGCAGGTAAAGTATGTCCATGAAAGAGAGGGGCAATTGTGGAACACTAACACTTGGAAAGACTCTGGGATTGGCTGGGTGGTCCTATGCTTGATCCCTAAATATATTCTCCCAGTGGGAGGACATTGCCTACATGGGCAGAATATGAGTTTTACAGACAGATTTTTGTCCAGATCGTAGCTTTGCAATGTGCCAGCAGTGTGACCTTGGGTAAGTTCATTAACCCTGCTGTGCCTCAATGCCTCACCAGCAAAATGGAGATATAAGGGCTTTTCTGATAGTTAAATAAAATATCACCAGTGGGAATTTAGGCCTCTTCTTTCCTTTTCTATTTCTTTACTTTGATTTATTGCCTAAATACAGCAGCTGGAATTTCATTTAGCTTGACAAATACTCTTTTTAGAAACGTAAATTTTTGAGGAAGTTTCAAGGACTATCCCACATTCACACACCAGTGTGAACTATTTCAATGTCACTGTTTTCTTTCTATACTTAGTAAGAGTTAGTTGACTGGTGAAATAAGGAGACAGGTCTACGTAAGTGGGAGTATGGGGTAGTGTTTGCATTTGGAAGTATTTTAAGCCTATCTGTAATGAAGTTCCTAGAAGTAGGATTGGGATGTAGGACAGCACCTTTAATAACCATTCAGTCTTTCCACCATCAAGGCCAATGCCTGTCATAGAATGCATACAATGCACACAACATCTGTAAGTCATGGAATCTTCAGATTTCTTTGGTTGGCTCTAAAGCCAGGAAAGGGAGACAACTTTTTCTTTACCCTTTTTGCAACTTGTATTCATTCTCCCACTTTTTTGGGGGGAAAGACCCTTGTTTCTAGGAAACATAACTCATGCTAACTATACCTGGAGTCTGTTGGTTTTTATCCAAAGCTATGTTTTAGGTTGTGACCAATTGACTTCTAACTCAATGAAGGCAGTGTGTAAATTGGGCTCTGGCTATATACTTCTAATTAAAACTTGACTTGGGCACTGGGGAGAATGAAACCTAACTTTTAATTAAGTATTGGAAAGTGGAGAAAATAACTGTTTGTAGCCAATATGTTAAGTAATGGGATGTGTCCTCTTTAATTTCTATTAACATCAAGTGTGTGTTTACAGGAACTATACTAATATTTGAAATTGGCAGCATTGAACAGCCTTATAATATCATTCTCTTTTAACCTATGAACTTGAAACTCTAGACAAATGCACACCACAGCTTAATGTCCAGGTCTGACTTCTTTTACCAGCCCTACCATAAATGAGGAGGTCAGGTATCATTGCTACAGCATTTCCGATCAGCTGAATCCCAGAGTCCCATTCAATGTGAACTTTCTTCTACAAAATGAGAAATGGGAGAATATATTTTTCTACTGTCTGTGTAACAGAAGTTCTTTCAAATCTAGACTAAAAGAGTATCAAATTATGGTCAAGGTCAGGTTATTCCTGGGAGGTGGACAGTGTATAGTTTGAATGACTACAGCCTTCTGTTTTCAAATTGTTTCATCAGCAAAACAGAAGTGTGTGTGTGTGTGTGTGTGTGTGTGTGTGTGTGTGTGTTTTAAACCTAAATAGTCAACTGGCTTTATCTGTTAATTAAGTGGACAGATCAGCAAATGAATGTCTCTTTCTGAAGAAGCAAGATCTCATGAGTCATGCATATTGGAGGGAGGGATACAGTTAACCAGATGCCTAGACATTTTGCATTTCAGTCTTGTTCTCTGACCTTGGAGGAGTGCCTCTAGGAAGCAGAACCTCAATTTTCAAACTGTAGAGCAAAAGCCGACAGCAGTAATTTAGCAGTGAGAAGCAGCAGAGGGTTGGATCAATTATTCGTGGGGAGGAACACTCAAGAGCTAAATTGTCTGGTCCTGCCTTCTCTCACTTTGTAAACGGGCATGCGGGAACAGCCATTTATTATCTCGGACAACTAAGGGAAGCTTCTAAGAATGAGTATCCAGATGACATTAAGCAGACCTTCTTTGAAAAAACGACACAACAAGGGCACCTGGGTGGCTCAGTTGGTTAAGTGACCAACTTCGGCTCAGGTCATGAGCTCGTGGTTTGTGTGTTTGAGCCCCACATCGGGCTCTGTGCTGACAGCTCAGTCTGGAGCCTGCCTCAGATTCTGTGTCTCCCTCTATCTGCAAGTTCCCCACTTGTGCTCTGTCTCTCTCTCAAAAATAAACATTAAAAAAAAAAAACACTTAAAAAAAACCACTACACAACAAAAAAGTGTTCAGAGAGTGACAAGCATCCATTTTCCAAATACAGAGAGTGATTCACGTAAAGTCAAAATCCAACAGTGAGGAGTGAAATATCAAGTACTTAGGAAAGAAAATAAAAGACTTGTCTGTTTCTTATATCATGAGACTCATGAACACACATTTTTGTGACAGACTTTGTAAAGGTTGCTACATCCTCTCTTGGAAAAAAATCCAGGCTGACAATTCTATACTCAATAGGGTCAGTGTGCAAAGAGTTTTTGGAATTTGAATGTGAGTCTTATTGGGACGGGACAGTAGGTCTTACAGACTAGTGCTCAGGCTACTGTAAATCGTTGATGAGCAGTCATAACACACAACAGCACACCACAGCATCTGCAACTTACAATGTGAGCAGTGATAGGTCAACAGGAAGGAAGAGACACCAAGGCATGGAGGTGCATCCCCAGGAAATGTGTTGGGGGGGGTGATTGTGGCAGTTTAGTGACAAATGAAGGACATTCCCCTCCCCTGCAGGGAATTTCAGAGCTTGGATTCCATTCCCGAGGATATTTGGTTTGAATTAATTCAACACTGCATAAAGTGCCTGGAGTCTCAAGCTGGATTAGTGGAATAAGCTTCTTTCTGGGCACCAGTTAGGTTCATCTGTTTATTAGCAGGGAGGAAACGAGATTGCCTTCTCTATGGCTTTGGTCGCCTGATTCACTGAAGATTAAAACAAGGTTATTAAACCTACGTTTTTTTTAAACTTAAAAGGACATTTTCTATGGAATACGACCAGGAGAGAGACTAGCTTTTGGACCACAGGGAGAAACTGTTTACACTTTCCATGACTTAACTGATAATTTGAAAGATAAAAGGGAACCTGACAAAACCAGCAAGTTGAACAACCTGAAGTAATTTCAGTTGCATCCCGTCAATCGCTAGAGAGTTTAGCAATTAGACTGAGAGAGAGAGAATGGAAGACAGTGTCTGCCTATCTCTGGGACATTTTCCTGATCCAAATGTTTTTAATGTCTCACATTTGCTTATATAATAAATCTGTGCACATTCATTGACAATATGATCCTGTACAATAAACTATGAAATAGGAGGTGTTAGAATTTACAAGATAATCTCATTTCCCTTCCAACATCGCTAATGTTTTTGTCCTCTGAAAACCGTGGTTCTGAAACAAATTGCCAGGCAATATGCACTGACAAAGATCCTATGCAAAACAAAGATAGTTCATAAGAAAAGGGAATTTCTGAAAATGGCTTATATTTTGTGATGGTGACATTGAAGGACATGTCTTAGCCTTCTGAGCCTTAGCCTATCTGATGAGTCCGATGGATCAAATCTATTGTTGTTTTCATGCCCCTTTGGGAAAATATTTTGTGATTTGAGAAGGAATATAAATGGGCCAGTGTCTACCTTTGTGGCAATAACCTGCTTTCAGTCCTAAACGGGGCTGATCCTGCCTGGGAGAAACGACAAATAATCTAAGGGGAAATATTTAATCCATCATTATTTAATCCATCTCAAGCCTGCTTTCAATTCATGGGTCACGTTGTTGAGAGAGAACATATTTAATCAGCCCGTTCTCCCTTTATATATAGACAGACTATCGCCTCTAAACTGCATTTAGAGATCTACTGGTCTGGCAAAACTGGAAAGGTGAGGTTTTCCTCTGACACTCCCCACTCCCTCCCTCCAGATTTCCTGCCATTTTTGTCCGAGTACAAACCTTCTTCCACACTTTATATAAGTGTTTAGACACTTCGCCAGCAGCCTTGGTTTTCAGAGGGAAAAATAAAAATAGCACTTATTAAAATGGAGCATGGAACCCAGATGGTAGCACGGTGTGCGAATGCTCGGAGCATCCCATTCCCCACCCACCGTTTGGAATCTTGCACGTTAATTCAACATAAAGCCTGAACACAGGTACAGTCAAGAGACGAACTAAGTACTTGGGTCCCACAGAAGTTACTTCCTTTTGGTAATGCAGCCTACTGTTCACTTTACCTGTCACACACCCCCAAAATGACTTAAAGTTCTTGTGAATATGCACAGCTCTGTGGAGTGAAAGTGTCTTCCTCATTCTTTAAGAAAGCCTGTTCAAGAAAGCCTTTAGGCAGAATCAATCCACACACACACACATGCACGCACACACACACAGACACACACGCTATTCCTAAGCAAGAAGAAAGCACTCTAAGCTTGATGACATGTTCTTTGATTATGGGCCTCCAGGCAGCAGAAACTTGAGTGGAAGTGAAAAAGTGAGCTTTTTCTAACAATTTTCTCTGTGGACCCTGCGAGAGGCCGACATGAAAAGATTGGGCATCTCCTCCCGTGGCTCCTGAGAGAGATGGGCTGGCTTCCCCATTGCCTTAAGGCCCAGTCAGCCTTCTCAGGAATGGAGCCCAAGTCACCTGAAGAAAGAAAAGTTATTGCAAACAATGAAGAGATAAGAAACAAATGGAGAAAACACTTTCATCTAATTTGATTTTGCCTTTGATGGAAAAACACCAGTGGAGTGTGCATAATATTGCAGTGTATAAATAGCTATGAAGGCGTAAGGATGGCTCCATCTCGTTCATCACACGTCAGAGCCAGAACGATGTTTCCTGAACAGCTTTTCTTTCCCTCTCAGTTCTATGCATTAACAGAAGGAGCGGGGAGAGAGGCATGCACAGAGGAGCAGCCATTAGACGCGTTCGGTCCCTAAAAGTATTGTCTTTCCTTTTGTTCCCACAGTCTACGATGGAGGTGAGATGGCTCTGTCAGAGCAGGTTTAACAAACAGACCAGCAAATCTGAGTGAAGAGACCCCAGAGAGAGAGAGAGAGAGAGAGAGACAGAGAGACAGAGAGACACAGAGAGAGAGAGAGAGGTGGGGAGGGGGGAGGGACTGAGAGAGAAAGAGAGAAACAGAGAGCCAGAGATCCAGAGAGAGAGAGAGTCAGAGAGAGGTAGAGACAGGAAGAGAGAGGGCATTTTTGAAATGGGAACCTGTGTAGATAATGTGTACCCTCAAAGCTGCAAAGTAATTATTTCCCTCAAACATTTCCACACCAGTGGTCACCATCTATTACATTCAGCCTGATTAATCTTTGTTTGTTTTAATTAAGCTATTTGGGGACGGGGCATAGTCAGGACCTTAAAAAAATATGTGTCATTTCACAAAAGCAACAGAACAGAAATGGAAATCTCATCTCATTTTAAAAATCATCCCAAACATTTCAATTAAGTTAGTAACTGATGGTTCCCAAAGCCAGTCTTTTATAGGACACATATCTTGTGCACTACAGTAAAAAAAATGTTGGATCACAGACTTTTGATTTCCAGATGATTGTTTTGGGGGTTTCAAAACATTTTTTTTGTCTAGCATCCCAAAGGGCAAAATCTTCACAATATAAATGTTATTTAATTCTAGCACATAATTGTGGATAATAAAATTGGTATAATAAAATACACTGAGTCGAATTCTATTTTTTAATTATTATTTAACAAAATAGTTCATATTTGCATTACTTGAAATTAGCAAATATGGAGCTTGAAACCTTGAGAGATTAAGAATTACAACTAAAGTAATCCGAAAATCAAGGGGCACCTGCCTGGCTCAGTTGGAGGAGTGTGCAACTCTTGATCTTGGTATTGTGAGTTTGAGCCCCACATTGGGTATACAGATTACTTAAAAATAAAAATGATATTTAAAAATAAGATCAAATAATTCTAAGATCAGAACCCAGCATTAAAATGCATTTTGGGGGGCATATTTCCTCCTAAAATTAAGAATCCAGTAAGCCCTTTCTATCCTACTTTAGTCTGTCCCTCTGTCAACCAATCTCAAAATGGAGTGCAATTAAAATTCATTTCTGAGTAAAACTTGGATGCCATTCCATAGATGAATCGTTGACAAACTCCTTATTTTCCAAGTCTAAACTCAATTTCCTAAAACCTTTCAGAAGTGGGGCTAATGACACCCCACCCACAGGACCATAGGTATTTAATACTGTAATCATGCCTGCTGCATAAACGAAGAAGTATATGAATGTTAGCATTGTTATTAATAACATACAATTTCAGAATCTAGCATGTCAACATCTATCAGAGCAGGGAGAGAGAGTTCCAGAAAACTGGACATACATGAACATGTTAAGAGAATCATTTTATCATTCCCTACTTGTACGTGCAATTAAAATGCTTGAACAGTTTTCTTTATTTTATTCTTAAATTTATTATTGAGAAGGTTACCTTTTCAGTTCCTTCCTCTTTGAGACTAATGATATCCAGATCAAAATCCTTCCTCAAGCCATCGGTTTTATTGAAGGTGATACGCCCGGTCAGGCCATCCCACCGAGCCTATGGACAAAAGGAACGTGGCATTACTATTTCACACTTATCATAATCCTAACACCATCAGAACTGTAATACCTCAAATTCATCACAGTATCCAATTATTTGGTTTCATCGTGGTGTTAGAAAGCATTGTGTTGCTTCAGTGGCTCAATGGCAGAACACTTCCCTGTTTTATTAGCACTCATTTATTTTGGCAGTTCGAACACCCGACATCAGTCAAATCTGTGATAGTGACAATCTAAATGGGCAGTATGGAAGGATTGGCTGTAAAATAGTCTGCACATGGAGTAAACAAAGTCTGGGCAGCCGTAATATTGTCTTTCAAGGTCAAACCAAATCCCTTGTAAGGTACTTGTATATGGGGAAGTATCCCCACCCCCACTGATTTTCTCTGTGAAAAGGATATAATCCAGTGATGTGTTATCAGATTTTTAGGGTGTTTGAGATTTAGGCCTTCCACTGTCATTTGGCCATGACATTAGTTTCCTGTAGCTGCTGTAGCAAATTATCACAAACCGGGTGGCTTAAAACAACAGAAATTTGTTCTCTCATAGTTCTGGAGGCCAGGAGCAGACATCCAAAGTCAGTAACTCTGAGCAAAATCAAAGCGTTCAACAGGGCCATGCTCCCTCAAGGACACTCATGGGAGACTCTGCTCCTTGACTGTTCGTGTTTCTGATGGCTGTCAGCAACCTTTGCCCTGTGGCTGTATTTCTCCAATCTCTGCCTCTGTGGTCACATTGCCTTCCTTTCTTGTGTGCAATCTCTCTCTACTTCTCTCTCTACTCTTTCTCTTATAAGGGTACTTCTGATGGCATTTAAGGCTCATGTAGATAAACCAGGATACTCGCCCCATCTCAAAGATCCCTAACTTAATTGTATATGCAAAGTCCTGTGTTTTTTTTTTTTTTTTTGCCACAAAAAACAACATTTACACATTCTATGGATTAGGACATGGGTACCTTGAAAGGGGAGCCATTATTCAGCGTGCCACGTGTATCCACATCATTTTAGGAACTAGAAAGCACAGCAGCCTGCTTTCATAGAACTCGCCCTGGACATCTTTGGTGGTTTTTTCATTAAACAGAAAATAGTGGCCCTAGCTTCAGCCTCAATCTTTAGATGATTTTTGGCAATCTTGCCTAATTTGAGTTGACTTATAAATGAGGATACGAGGAACCTCAGTCCTTTGTATCTCCCTAGCTGGTTCTGCTTTCTCCCGACTTTACCAAATTCACTGGACATTTGTGAAATGTGCAGAAAATCCTGAAAGTTACTGTGTTCACACCATGTGTACCTGTTGACTGTATTTACCTATGTGGCCAATGCAGTGGGAAGAGTATGAGTTTATCACAGAGCTGGGTTTGAATCTCTGAAGTGTGACTTCACTTAACCTGAATCTGGGTTGTCTCAGATTTCAGCGTCTGGTCCGTGCAGGGTTTCTGCGAGATTTAAATGGCACTTCACACAATCTTAACTCACTGAGAGCACTGAAAAGTTAAACAATGATTCTTTTTTACAACTATCTCTCATTTTCCTTCTCACATTCCCCACAAGCTCTGAAGTTTGGCCTTTATTGCCTCACATGTCAGGACTCGCATCTGTAGTCTTTTCTGGGATCTTCTGTTTTTCATTTTCCAAATCAACGGTAGGTTCATTACCCCAAGATACAACTTTCATTCTCATGCAATTTCCCCCAGCACATAAAACACATAACCATGTACTTCTTGCCACCTACAAATTAGTCTAAACCTTCACTTTATAAGATGTTCAGTTATCTGGTTAAACATTACCTCTGGATATGTCCATGAGGGTGTTTCCATTTACTGAATAAAGCAAATGCCCTCCCTAATGCGAGTGTGCATTATCTAATCCATTGAGGGCCTGAATAGAACAAAGAGGCAGAGGAAGGGAAAATGTGCTGTCTTTGTTTGACTGAGCTGAGACGTTGGTCTTCTGCCCTCAGACAAGGATTTAACACTATGGGCACTGCTGGTTCTCATCTTCTCTGTGCCAGAACCTATCTGAGAATATGGCACTTACCAGTTTATGGTTTAGTAGGAAAAAGAACATGGATGTATGTCAATGAGGCACCATGAGTGGTGAGGATAAAGGTTTGCACGCAGTATTTGAAGAAAGGAGTATGGAGCAGAAGTACTTGTCCCAAATGCCTGGAAAGAAAGACTCAGAAAAGGACTCTGGCAGGAAGAATGCCTAAGCTCTCAAAGGATGAGAAGCTGGCCAGGCAAAGATTCACAGTCTGAGTAAAAAGCATATACAAGGTAAATCCTGTCTGCCATGGATCCATAACGCAAGGTAAGGAATGATAAGAAATGGGTCTAGGAAGGCAGGTAGACACTTGATCATAAAGGTGTTATGGATCATATTAGTTTGCTTGGACTTTGTAGACACATGGGAATCATCAGAGTGGATTTTTTATTAAACTTTTTCTTTTCATTGTTTATTTTTGAGAGAGAGAGAGAGAGAGAGAGAACCAGAAGGGGAGGGGCAGAGAGAGAGGGAGACAGAATCTGAAGCAGGCTCCAGGCTCTGAGCTGTCAGCACAGAGCCTGACTCAGGGCTCAAACCTACAAACCATGGGATCATGACCTGAACCAAAGTTGGATGCTTAAACAGCTAGGCTACCCAGGCACCCCAATCATCGGAGTGTTTTAAGCCTAGGAATGTCATGGGCAGATGTACACTCCAGAGAGATCATTTTAGCAGAACTAGGGAAGAATGACTCAAAGATCAAGACTGTAAGCAGGGGATTGGTTAGAAGGTCGTTCTCACAGAACAAAATGAAACATATTCACATGCCCATCTGTGAACCTAGGGACAGCACAATCCCTTCATCTCCCTGTCCCACCAACTTGCACACCATGAAGTGTTAATGGAAATAGTTCCACAGCAGGGTGCCCAGTTTCAGGAATAAAACATTGCCATCAAAGTTCTTATAGAAAGAATAGTGAATGGAATCAATTTAAGTATCAGGAACTAACACAATAAACCCAAACATACTTTCTGGCTACCATGCAGATGGCATGTTAGTCATGACAGAAGTAAACATTTTTTCACATGATAATGCTGGCAGTTGAATCAAATTCATGTCAGGAAATGATATGTGGACACAAGAAGCCTTCAGCTCTCATCTAAGCCTACTATATGGCCAAGCTAGATGTGAGTTACTCAAGTGCCTCAACACAGAAGAAATTCTTCAGATTCTTGAACTTCGCCTCAAGAGTTTATTGCTAAGGAAGGCTATAATGCCAAACACTGGCACCAGCTTTAGAAAAGAGATGGCATTTTCCATACTTTGACTATTGTTGACAGTGTTTCTATAAACACTAGGGTGCTTCTGCCCCTTTGAATCAGCATTTTTGTATCCTTTGGATAAATACCTAGTAGTATTTATCCAAATACTACTGGGTTGACTGATGAATGGATAAAGAAGATGTAGTATGTATGTGTGTATGTATGTGTATATGTGTGTATATGTACACACACATATACACACATATGTACATATACATATATGTATACACACACACATAGTGGAATATTACTTCAGCATCCAAAAAAGGATGAAATCTTGCCATTTGCAACAATGTGGATGGAACTGGAGTGTATTATGGTAAGTGAAATAAGTCAGTCAGAGAAAGACAAATATCATGATTTCGGTCATATGTGGAATTTAAGAAACAAAACAGATGAACATAGGGGAAGGGAAGGAAAACTAAGATAAAAACTAAGAGGGAGGCAAGCCTTAAGAGTCTCTTAAATACAGAGAGCACATTGAGGGTTGCTGGAGGGGAGGTGGATAGGGGGATGGGCTAAATGGGTGGTGGGCATTAAGAAGGGCACTTTTTGGGATGAGCATTGGGTGTTATATGTAAGTGATGAATCACTAAGTTCTACTCCTGAGACTAATACTACATATATGTTTAGTAGCTTGAATTTAGATAGATAGATAGATAGATAGATAGATAAACAAATAGCGTATTTTTACAGTTGATAGTAATGTGTGTTGTTACACTTGCTGAGATACTGGTAGTCACCTTCTCTGCCCTGGGACAAGAAAAATTGGTATCGAATGCAAGTCTGGAGCATCGTTCTGTGTATGTTTAGGTACACCTCCTGGCACTGTAATCTTGTCATCCTCCCCACCATATTCCAATCCTACTTTCTGTACTCTGGTCACTTTCTATTTTGCACGTCAAAGGCTGCTTCCGTGGACTGGTGTGTTAAATGAGAGTCACTAAAGAAGCTACAGCATTAGAGTCCTAGCATCTGCCTGCGAGTGGAAGACAATTTGTTGGAAACTTCAGTTGGGTAGAAATCTCTACTACTGTGGTTGGACTCAGTCAGTGTGTGGGCCCCCTTCTTCATGCTTCTCAAAATGTGCAGTTTTAACCTCTTCCTGATCTGTGTGGAAGGAGGTAGTTTTCTTCATTAAAGTTCTACAGAATTTTCCGAAAGGTTTTTCCTACAGGCAACTTTTCCTTCTTGGGGGTCATGCTGTGAGTCAATTCGATACATTGTCCAGAGTTTACCGAGCTCTCTGAAAATGTGCAGAATTGGTAGCATTTATCTCTTGATGTAGCATACAGCTCATAGCAGGGTCTTAAAATCCAGTTCAGAAATCCAATTTCATTTCCACTAAGTGTGTCTATTGTGTCCCTTTGTTTGGATTCTGTCGTGTTAGTTTTATTCTTGAATTTAGTGTTCCAGTCGCTGGTGCGGTGTAATTCCCGCTTCTCGCTTCTCCTCCCTGCTCATCCAAGTGGCAAAAAAGTTCATTTTTCATGCTCTAACAATGCTTACTTCCCTGCCTCAAATATCTACAAAGACTCCCTGCCTGGGTTCTTTACTGAACTGAAATATCTTTTGACCTTCAAAGTCAAGCTTCTCATTCTTGACACAGTTGCCTGTGTCTTCCTGCCTCCCATCCCTAGATGAGCATTTCTGTACAAGTTCTTTGTTTTGTTTTTCAAAGTAATTGT